ATATATATATATTATATATATATATATNTATATATTATATATATATATGTATATATGTATATATATATATATATATATATATATATAGCGTGGATGTCCTCGAGATCCTCTTGAAACGTCCATATGTATATATATATATATAAATAATGTATCCCGTGGTGGCTGTGATCTCTCAGTTGGCCACCTTGACGAACTCAGGGTTGGAAACGGGGCAGTTCTCGGCCGCGTACGCCGGATGGACGAAGCCGGCCCCCGCAACCATGTTCTTCCGGTCGACGGCGCGCACCCTGACGAAGAGGAATGCCGCGACGAGAGAGGCGACCACCACGACGAGGAGGAGCATGACCAGACCGCCGACGAAGCCGGGCAAGCTCATGCAGATCGTCTCCGGGTCTGTGGAGGCGCTCGCGTTCTGGATCACGACCGTGGTGTCGTTGCTCGAGTTGGTCGTCCCGAGGGCGAAGTTCACGTCGCCCGGGGCGACCACTTGGATCGTCCTCGACGTGTTCACGTCCGTCATCTCCTGGGCCGCTCTCTTGTACACGTGGCCGATCTTCACCAAGCTCACCATCTGTCGAAACGATCCAATCTATTTTTCATCATATATTCCATCTCTTTCGCGAAAAATGGAGAAAGAATGACTCACGGAATCGTCTCGGTCGTCGAGGTCGGATCTTCGCCTCCTGGCGCCCCTCAGCTCGGCCGGGAAACCCTCGACCGACCTCGGCCGACCCCCCAACGTTGCCAGGTTGCCCTCGAGCTCCTCGGAACCGGCGCTCCCCTTCCTCTTCACGGTCTGGTACGCGGCCGCCGGGTGGCCGGGGAGGGGCGGCGGTGGAAGGTGGATGTTGTCCTGCTGCTGCTGCTGCTGCTGCTGGCTCTGCGGCGGGCTGCTCGCCGTCGCGTCCCCAGGCGTCGAGCTAGGCGAGGAGGACGAGGTTTGCGCCTGCGGCGCCGGCACCACGTCCGCGTTCTGCTCGCTGCGTTTCACAAATTTTCAGAAATTTTTTCTCCCCTCCCCCTCCTTCCTCCCCACCCTCTCAAAGGGTGACCAGATCCACCTACCTGTAGGCCCCGGCCGGGCCGCTGGGATGGCGAGGGTCGGCGAAGGCGGGCGGGACGCCGTATTCGGGGACGGGCGGGGCCCCGTATTCGGGCCCAAGGCCCTGGTGGACGGGGGCCCCGTACTCGTGGGCGAGGCCAGCCGCGGCCGCCCCGTACTCGAGGCCTGGGTGGCCGCACTTGGGCTCGGGGCAATTGTAGCGGCACACTTGTATCACGCACTGGAAGTGGACGTTCATGCTGTCCGGGAACTTGAAGGCTTGGAAGTAGGCGAAGCTGACCACCGAGGCGCTGGGCCCGAAGTTCTTTATCTTCTGGAACCTGGAATCGACGGATCACGATTGGATGAACTGGGATCTGGATCGATGATCACTGCTCCCCTCCGAATATCGGGCCTCACCTGGACATGATCTTCGGCCTGACCACGCAGCCGTACTGGTCGACCAGTTGGATGGGGGCCCTCTTGCCGTCGTGGGCCACGCAGTTCCTCACCAGCATGTCGAACTTGTTCTCGTCGTCCTTGATGGCGAGGACCATGGTCATGGTCTGGCCGATCTTCACTATCCCGGACACCTCGCTGGCCCAGGGCCCCTTCCCCACCTGGATCTGCATCCAGCACTGCAAATTGTCGCCGAGGAAGTTGGCGGTGACCGCGTGCAGCATGTCGACCTGGAACGGCCTGAAGGTGACCGCCTTCTCGTAGAAGTCGTACCAGGTGCACCTGAGCTTCCTCGCCTGGTCCCAAACCTCCTGCACGTACGGGTCGTACTGGACGATGATCGTGTTCTCGACGTAGCTGCCCGAGGGAGTGGGCGCCCCGTAAGCGGCCACGTTGTGATTGGCCGAGGAGCTCATCCCGCACGAGTTGAGGAATATCTCGAAGGTGGCGCTCAGGTGGCCGGTGCCCGGCTTCAAGTGGACGCAGTGGGGATCCGAGTAGAAACCCTTGCTGAATATCATCCCGTAGAACGGCCTGTCGAACTCGATGTTCACCCGCATGTGCGTCTTCTCGCACTGCACCTGCAGATGCTTGATCTGGGGCGTGTCGGGGGAGGCGAGCGGCCAGTTCTCCTCGGCCCCGTGCGCCACCCCCGCCCCCCCGTAAACCGACCTGTGCTCCAACGGCAGGGCGCTGCTGTCCACGAGCGGAGCCTCGCACCTCGCCCTCTGCGAAAACAAGATCCAATTGTCGATTTCAGGCGTCGTGTGTGCGAGTCGCTCGAGCGGAAATGGACGAGGAGAGGGGGAAAGAGTCGTCGTTCGAGGTAACCCGTCTCGAATTAATATCTTAGTAACGCGTTTCAATTTTTTTAAATAATATACTTTTCAATTCGTAAAGTTATTTTTTTTTTTTTTTTTGGGCCGTATATATTGTGGGTTTTGATACAAACCCATACAAATTGGATCTGTTCCAATTTTTTTTAAATAATATAGTTTTCAATTCGTAAAGTATTTTTTTTTTTTGGGCCGTATAACGAAACATTGTGGGCTGTAAAACGAAAAGCCGTATAACGAGTCGATCCGTTTCAATTTTTTTAAATAATACGGTTTTCAGTTCGCAAAGCATTTTTTTTTTTGGGCCGTATATATTGTGGGCCCCAAAGCGAAAAGCCATGTAACGAATCGATCCGTTTCAAATTTTTATAAAATAATATAATTTTCAATTCGAAAGCATTTTTTTGGGCCATATGATGAAACATTATGGGCCCTAAAATGAAAAGCCGTATAAAGAATCAATTATTTTGATACAAATCCATACAAATTGAATCTGTTCCAATTTTTTTATAAAATAATATAATTTTGAATTCGTAAAGCATTTTTTTGGGCCGTATAACGAAACGTTGTGGGCCCTAAAACGAAAAGTCGTATAACGAATCAATCTGTTCCAATTTTTTATAAATTAATATAATTTTTAGCTCATAAGGCATTTTTTTGGGGCCGTATAACGAAACGTTGTGGGCCCTAAAACGAAAAGTCGTATAACGAATCAATTATTTTGATACAATCCCATGCAAATTTAATCGAATCTATTTTAATTTTTTACAAAATAATATAGTTTTGAGTTCGTAAAATATATTTTTTTTTTTTGGGTCGTAAATCGTAAATCGAAAAATCGTCATAATTAAAAAAATTATAGCGAGCTATAGGTGTGTTCTTATTTTTCACCTTTTCTTACTACATTTCTATTTTCATAGCTATTTTTCCTTCTCTCTATCAATTTCTTCTCAATTTCTTAACCAATAATAGAAATCATTTCAATTGCATTTCCCAATTGGAGGGACTTAAATTTCAAAGATGTTTTCCGGCATGGATGAAAAATACGTACAGGCATGCATATGTTTTAAAAAATAGGAATACTGTTATTTATTTCATGACCAAGCTCGTTTTTAAATAGACAATCATATATATTTTTTCCAATAGAGGGGTAACAAACGAGAAATCAAACTCATCTTCGAAAACTTTGAAAATAATATTTCTATCGTCAATCACGAAATTGTCAAACACGGACTAAAATATAGTTCGATCTAATTTCGATCTAATTTGAGACAAAAAAATCTAACCTTCACGATATTCATTTAAAAGAAACAAACGTAAATAAATATTGTCTGCGCCTGAGAGTCATTGGAGCGCGAAGGGTTAATAACCGGCAGCGTTTCGAAATCGTGCGAGCCGTGCTATCTTTCTTTCTTTCTTTCCCCGTTTTTGTTCCACCGCGTGTACGAATGGTGTCTAGAAGCCGGTTCTTCCCGAATCGACGATGAATGACAACGAGCTCGGTTCGAACGAGAGTCGCATTACGAATTCCACGAACGTCGTTGCAACGTGGAATGTCGATTGAAGCCGGGTTACGGTGCTCGAGATTCCACTTGATCGTCATTTCGAGTCGGGATCGACAAGAGTTGGACCACGCTCGACGTAAATTAACCTTGTCCTTCTTACGTAATAAGGATAAATATGATATGAACCGTTTATTTTGAAAGTGGTGCAAGTTGGTTTTTCGTTGCATCATTTTCACAATTAGTCGATTGTAAAAATCGTTTAATTATGAATAATAACGAGAAACAAAATAGGAGTAGTATTTTTTATCTTGAACGTTAATTGTATTTATATATCGTTAAACTTAACATAAGATATTGGTTTTATTTATTTACGCTCCTTACGCGGTAATAATTGCTGCATATCCTTATATTTTTCGTATATAATAGATCTGGTATAGTTATACAAAAGCATCAAGTAGATGATAAATTTAAACCTCTTAATTTCTGTAACGTTCGACTTGCACCACTTTCGTAATCGATCGCTACGTGATTTCTTTTATTGGCCAATTTTAAATTGAACAAATCATTTCTTTTAATATTGAATATCAACCAGTTATAAATAAAAAGTTTACACTTTTTTAATTAATCAGGAATTACATCTCATTTTTTTTTTACCGAAATGAACTTACACCACTTTCAAAATAAACGTCCATCCATACTTTTTCCACGGTCGAATTGGAATTAATTCGCGCTCGTGGCGCCATCTGAAAGAGCTTTTGTTTTTAAGAAGAGTCGCGACGAGCGTCTTAGTAGATCTGTAGCTGTCGAAGCTAAACCGAAACGGTTTGCGCGCGCCACTGGGAGAGGACGCTGCGTCTCACGCAACGTGCGAAAACTCGTAGCGAAGATTCGAAGCCGGAAATTTTAATTTGGACGATCGGATGAATTAGAGGAATTGATCGCTCGACTAATCTTATACCTGATTCATCCGATAAAATCTTGAATTTGGAGAAGAAAAAGGAGGGAAAGAACTTATTTGCACGCCTGATATAATCGAGTGGAGAGAGTTGTTACAAAATCGTGAGCAGTTGTGACGAGTCGTGGAACCTGTTACACGGGTCATAGTTCGGTTCAAGTTTGGAATTAAAAGGTTTGCGCGTGCATCGCTCGAAATCGATCGTGGCGCGACCAACGCCCACATCTGGATTCTACAAATTCCAGGTTGGCTCGATCGAATACGAATTATGCACTTTCCCGCGTAAGACCCGATTCCGAGTGAAATATAATCCCTCGCTCGAAATTTTTCTCACGTCTTTCCTCGCCGATCGTTGACACGCTTCTCGCGATCGATGCTCGCTAAACTCGTGCTTCGATCGTCGATCGAAGGAAGAAAGGAAGGACGGGGAGGGGGGGAGGGGGGGGGGAAGGGGGGAAAGAAAGGAACGTCGCGATCGTTCTAAAAATAAAAAATAAAATAACTGTAAAAGCGTGGTCAGGTTTCTCGAAACGACACGAGTTCCTGTTACGAAAAAGAGTTACGAAATTGAATCGTTTTCCTCGCCTGCCGCCGCTCTTCTGCTCTTTCACGCGGTCTACGACGTCACGCTCAAGTAAAATACGATTCATCGGTTATTCGAATGACGAGAATAGTGGGATTCTTTTTTTTTTTTTTTTTTAACGCGGAACTCACGGTTGGAAAGTCGAAAATTCGATGCGATATTTTCGAAAATATGTCTACATTTTGAAAAGAAAAAAAATACGAAACGATGCATAATTTTCGAAAATATGTCTACATTCTGAAACGGTTAAAAAGAAAAAAATACGAAACGACGCAATATTTTCGAAAATATGTCTACATTTTGAAATGATTGGAAAAAAAAAATGATTCGATGCAATATTTTCGAAAATATATCTATATTCTGAAAAGAAAAAAGATACGAAACGATTCGATGTAATATTTTCGAAAATATGTCTACATTCTGAAAAGAAAAAAAATACGAAACGGTTCGATGCAATATTTTCAAAAATATGTCTACATTCTGAAACGATTGGAAAGTCGAAAAGAAGAAAAAATACGATGCAATATTTTCGAAAATATGTATTTTGAGACGGTTGAAAAGAAAAAAAAAAATACGAAACGGTTCGATGCAATATTTTCGAAAATATGTCTACATTCTGAAAAGGAAAAAAATACGAAACGGTTCGATGCAATATTTTCGAAAAATATTCCGAAACGGTTGATGGAAGAAAAAAAGAAGGGCGATCGACGGGAAACGCCATAGTTCGCGGTCGAGCGACAGTCGGCACGACTCTTTACCCGTCCGCTTTCTTGTTCCACTTGCGCCCGATCTGCTCCAAAGACTCTTCCCGAGCGAAGCTTTCCGTGACCGAGCAACAACTCTCCAAATTTCTCGAAAATTGTCGAAAATTCTTCTCGAACGAATTTCAAAATAAATCCTGAAATAAATCCTATCCTTTGTTGAATAATCGCGATCACTTTCACGGGGAGCCGGCTCCCATCCGATCGAACGGAGGAAGCCAGAATCGGTTCAGTTTCACTTTTCCATTGTCATCCGTCGGAGAAGCCCATCCATCGACTTTCACCGAACACCGCACCGGGACAAAACTAAAAGTCGATTGGCCGACCATCCACGATTCCCCTTCGAATCGTTGCGCGACTCCTTCGTCTTCGATCGAGAGAACGATCTTGCTCAAAAAATCCCTGATTCTCGAAATTCTGCTCTTTCGAACGAAATGGGCGAATAAATTTTGGGGCCAAGATCGAGAGAGAGAGAGAGAGAGAGAGAGAGAGAGAGAGAGAGAGAGAGG